AGCATACTTTGTCCATCTTGACCGGAAACATGACATAGATGATTGATAACTTTATGAACATTTGGGAAGCACATTTTAATGCCCCAGGAAGATTGTCTTGCCTTTCTAACATTGTTTTTTTTTTCTTTTTTCATGTGTGTGAGCTTATGCCTTACAACCACAATATAAGAAGAAAAAAAACCAAAGCCAAAATAAAATAAAGAAAAAAATCGCGTTAGTAAAAGACAAAAAAAAGAAGCATTTGTACCTATTGCAATTTTTAGCTTTCATAACTTGAATCATGTGGCAAATATTTGGCTCTGGATTTTGATCCAACATCGGTTGAGATGATGTTAAAATCTCGTTCATCGGAGAACCAGGAATGACATTAAGGTACAAAATACACTCACTTGTAGTATCAATGTTATTATCCAACAAATGATTGGAGATTTTCTTCATAATACATCCACCTTCAATAGTTGATTGTATTTACTCAACATTTAAATCTATTTCAAGGAAGGTTGTTTGTGTATTGAACCCATTTACATAGGAAATATGGAATGAATGTACTTTGGTTGAGACCAATTTAAAAGAGTGAAGTCTCTATAGCTTCTAATTTCAAATTTGGTGGGAGTTAAACCTATCAATTTGGTGGAAAATTTTGATTGAAAATTTTTGGTGGGAAATATTTATGGAATATGTAGATGTATGGCTGCTCATATTCATTTCCAGCTTTGTTTCGTTATTTTCGACTGAAAACAAAATAAACAAATGAAGTTATATTTGAGAAATTTTTTTGGGTTTTGACAACTAAATTCAATAACTTTCTTAGATGACTTAATTTAGTTGTAATTAATGGATGAACATAGAAAATTGATATATGTGTGGTTGAGTAATTAAATAAGGGAAAAAAAATACAATATATTTAGACATTAAATGGCCAATCATTATTTTTTTAATAGTTGTGCAACCCTAAATATAGGTACATAGTAGTAATTTTCTCAAGAGTCTTTATTAATTACCTTATTAATTATTGTCGGTAGATGTAATGTGATAATGACTATCTTTGCATAGGTCATGTCTCATGGGGTGTATATGCATATAAAGATTATTTTTTACTTGTTAGGTGATCAAAATGGCAATGACAAATGAAAATTCTCTCACATAGAAAAAAATGATTTTCTCATGGATCATAGCGCACCCATGTGAAAAGTGCTTTTTAGTTGTGGAAGATTATTTATTAGTCATCAGAGATTGACGCAATCTTATTAGATTGATGCAATTTGACAATGACAAAGGATGATTCCTCTCACATAGAATAAATAAATTTCACAGGGGTCTATGTATATTATGTGGACACCTATGTGAAAAAATACTTTTCTAAGTGTGGATTAATGCATAACATCTATTCTCTTTTACCAGTTTGGAATCTAATTTTGTTTGAATATTTCGAATCTTTACAAAAAATGCATGAGACTTTGATCTTTTTAGACCAATTAACTATCTAGAGGAAAAATACTACCCATTAGAGCATGTTTACTCGTAATAAGTGGCATTGAACCACGTGCCAGTTACACCATGACTTAACTCTTCTCATTGAATAGTTGCTCTCCGTTAATTTTTGCTTTCCATGCATGTTGTTGTGAATGTGGGACCTAATTAAATATTTGCAGATTACCTTTTATAAATTAAAAAATTGAAAGTGAAAAATGCCCTCTCCCTAAATGGGTAAGACCATTGTGCTGAAGAGTTGGGTACAAAGAAAAGTGAAGAGTGGACAAACTGAGAGGGTGATGTAATGGATTCGTCGGCGTCATCAAACAACCGGAAATGGCGGAAGTTTTGCCAACCCACAAAGCTCGTTTTAGGGTTGTTGGCGTTAAACCCTAAGCGTCGCAGCTCTTCAGCAACAGCCTTCCCTATACATTGAACAATGGAATCAGCAAGTCGTCGTTCCAAGCACTGAGTATATTGATCAAATTCCTCCTTCAGCGATTGAAGCAACACCTCCCGAAAGTCATGATCCTTGTGTGGCGTCATTGTTGCCCGGACGAAAAAAAATCACTTTTAAGAGTTGAATAACGAGCAAGCAATCCAATCACTCTCCAGAGAAAGAACCGGCTCTGATACCAACTGACGTAGCGGAAGCCTCAATCTTAAACCCTAATAAGTAACCAATCATTGAAGGGAGAACATCCAATCAAATGCGTGAATTCTCTGATACCAACTGATGCAGCAGGCGGAATCTTATATCTCAAACCCTAACAAGTAACCCTTCATGAATCTATTGATTCTACGAATACATGGAAATACGACCTTCCTAAATCTCGTTGATTATGAGAATACTCGAAAATAGGGACTAAAGTTCAACACCTTGGAATTTTTTGAGATAAACTCTCAACTTTTTACAAAAAGCAACAACTGAATTACAATGAGGAGGCCAAAGCCCTTAAATAGAAAAGATGATAAAAATAAAACCATAATCACTTACAGTAAAATGACTACGATATCCTTCGATCAAATAATTAAAACCCTAATCTATAAGTGTTTTTCCATCTCGCATCATGATGTGATGACATTACTCAAATACGAAAAGTAACATTTATATGAATCTTATGTTATGTAATGTATATTCAGATCATATGTTGCTCATGAAAATTATCTATTATTTTGGACGGTGTAATTTGATAGTGATGAAAAAATTTCTCCATATAAAATAGTAATTTTCTCAAGAGTCTTTATTAATTATCTCATTAATTATTGAGTATAGATGTAATGTGATAGGTGGCGATCTTTAGATAGGTCCTATCTGATAGGGTGTATTATAGATGTGAAGATTACTTATTTTAGGTGGTTAAAGTGACAATGAGAAATGAAAATTTTCTCACATAGAAAAAAGTGATTTTCACATGGGTTATTGCATCCATGTGAAAATTACTTTCTAGTTGTGGGAGATTATTTATTACTCATCAAAAGATTAATGCAATCTTATTAGATTGACGCAATCTGACAATGACAGAGGATGATTTCTCTCACATAGAAAAAGTAAATTTCACATGCGTCTATGTATATTATGTCGGACACCCATGTGAAAATTACTTTTTTAAGTGTGAATTTAATACATAACATTTATTCTCCTTTACTAGTTCAGAACCCCAAGTTTGTTTGAATATTTCAAATTTTTACAAAACTGTATGTAACTTTGATATTTTTAGACCAATTAGCTATATAGAGGAAAAATACTAACCACTAGCTTCTTTCATCTATCACTGCTCGTATGGAGACGATGCGATGACATTCTCAAATATGAAAAGTAACGTTTATATGAATCTTATGTCATGTAATATATATTCAGGCTCATGTGTTGCTCATGGAAATTGTCGATCATTTTGGACGGTGTAATTTGATAGTGATACAAAATTTTCTCCATGTGAAAGTAGTAATTTTCTCAAAAGTCTTTATTAATTACCTCATTAATTATTGACTTTAGATATAATGTGATAGTGACGATCTTTACCTAGGTCCTATATGATGAGGTGCATATGTATGTAAAGATTATTTTTCACACTCTTTATTTTAGGTGGTCAAAAGGACAATGACAAATGAAAATTCTCTTCCGTAGAAAAAAAAAGTGATTTTCACATACGTTATCGCACCCATGTGAAAACTTTCTAGTAGTGGGAAATTATTTATTAGTAATGAGAAGATCGATGCAATCTTATTTATTAGTAGTGATTTTCATAAGATTGCATCGCGACAATGACGAAGAAAGATTTCTCTTACATAGAAAAAGTAAATTTCACATAGATCTACATGTATTATTACGTGGGACACTTACGTGAAAATTACTTTTTGAAGTGTAAGAGTAATTTTGTCCATATGCGAAACAAAAGAGCCTGTACGTACAATCCATAACGTGCACCACCATTTTTAGTAGTAACTGAGCACTGTACGCCTCTTCCTTTCTGTAATCTGCAAAAGCGGGAGGTCGGGGGTACAGTTTTGTTTTTATCCTCCTCTTCCCTTTCCTTACTCCTCCTTTTTATCAAATTTGACTCACGCGCTCAGTTCCCAATCCAATTCCCAAGAAACCGCTGTATACTTTCTTTGCCCAACACCAACAATCGGCTTTAACAATTCACTCACAATTTCTTCAACCACAACGGCCGGAGCTCAAAACCACAGCGTAATGACCGACAACATCTTCCGACTTTCTAAACGGTTTTTGGTGATTTTTTTTGGGGGTTGTGACTTGTGCATGTTGACTGTTCCATTTTGTCAGCCTTAAAGGAAGAACAGGGGGAGTAAGAGAGTAAAAATTCTGAGTCATAACTATTCTGTGGGACTGCGTGGAACACTGTGAGACTGTGGGGGTTTTCTTCCCCTGTTTCCTTACTACCATTGCTAAATAGCGTTTTCTCCCGGTCGCCACAAGCTGGATTGTTATGATTTTCCCCTAATTTCACAGACAGTTTGTGTGCATATTTTTGTAACCAGATTTTGGGGGGTTTTATCTTTCAGCGCTTGTTTTTCATTTTCTTCTCACACAAAGTGAGCAGTATTTTTTGGATTTCGATCCGCAGGTAGCGCGGAATTGCAGGCTAAGCCGATGGTTATCACCAACTCCTGTAAGAAATGTTCAAGGCCTGACCTCACTGGCCGCAAATTCAAAGACGTGGTCACAGCAGCCAAAAGAAACTGTGCTGCCGGTAATTTTCTTCCGGGAGGATTTGGAGGTTTTTTTTTTTTTTCCCCGAACAAAGAGAAGGGTAAACAGGCGAAGACTAATGTAGTAATTCTTAGGCGCGCTACCCAAAGAATACTGAAGAATTAGATGGATTAAGAGTTAGGACTGATGGACTAAAATTATTTTTTGTTTCCACTCGGATAATTGTTGTTTTGGCTTGTGTTTTATGTTCCGATGATTAGGAGAGTTAAAATAATGAAGGTGAGATGGAGGAGGTGGTTTTGGCTTGTGTTTTATGTTCCGATGATTAGGAGAGTTAAAATAATGAAGGTGAGATGGAGGAGGTGAAAACGACAATTCACCGACTCTATCTCCATCTCCATTCAAAAATAGTAATAATAAATAAATCAATGCTTTTGGCACCTGTAGCTCTAACCTCTTGAGAGAGTACTACAAATAAAGTAATAAACAGTTCATTGCATTCTGCTCATGAAAACTTTTCAGCTTGTTTAAGGAAATCACTGCTATTCTGGGCAGGTCACGTGATTCCTAATCAGGAAAAGCTGGTCAAAGGTGACGGTCATGATGACGATGCTATTCCTTCAACGGTGGTTGTCCAGAAACCACCACCTTCGCCACCTTCATCCGGTGAACAGCAACGGTATGCTTGGTCTGTTCCACTCTCCTCTGCCTCTTGTCTCTCTCCGTCTTTAAGGATCTATGTTCTGGACCTTCTGGTTATCTTTTTCATGTCGTGTGGATGTGTCTGCTCTCGCAGGATTGTCTCTCCCCGAAAAGAAGCTGGCTCAGCCGAGGGGTTACAAAACCATGATAATTTTGGTGCTACTGCTATTCAGGTAAGTTCTTCCATCTCTCAGTTGGGTCTTCTCAGGTATTCGATGTTATTTTTTCGAGTATATTGCTCATGCAATTCATCGACAGCCCTTCACAAACAAAGAATTCCAGTAATTAAAAATGGAGTATGTTATAGTACTCAATTGCTGTGATTGCTTGTTTGTGAAATAAACATGCTGTCAATGGGTCTGGTTCAAGAGCAGGTCAGTACACCGGGTTTGGTTTTGTAGATTTGCTTTTGTATACTTGCATTGAGAAAACATGTTCCCCCTTCCTCACTGTTGACTTCTTTTGACAGCGAAGATGAAACATTAGAGGCATGCTACTTATGTGCTTTGCATGAATCCTGATGGTGGTAGAAGTGTTCCTCTTAGTTATATTTTAGCGCCTCCGCTTTAGATGAAGGGGGAAAAAAAAAGAAATAACGGATATACCCCATGTGTTGAAGGTTTTCACCTGCTGGTAGCTAATCTTTTATTTCAAAAGTTCGCGGAATTGCATGACACAAGTATAAGACTGCGGAAGTCCTTGTTATATTGGAGATCCCAATAGGTTATATATATTGCTTCTGCATTTCCTGTTTTGTTTGGGTTTGACTTGCCTTCTGTGTGTGGCTGTTTTACATGTGTTTGTTTGATTTTGTGCTTGCAATGCGTCACAGTTTCATATGTTAGAGCAGCGTGATATGATTTTTTATTTTCTTCCCCTCACCCCCTTTCCCTGAGTGATAGTCTTATGGAAGTGGAAAATAAACCCTTTAGTGGCTAATAAGTTTCGTTAATTACGTGATAGCAGATTTGTCACAATATACTGATTGACATGACTCTCTATCCTAGACATTAGTTCAAATTTTTAAATCGTTTAATCAACTACTGTGCTATCTTGAATGATTTGACTCATAATGTTTATGTTTGATAATGTTCTTTTCAATTTGAAGAAGAAACTACTGTTATCGTGTTGTAACTTGTAAGACTTTTTCATTTTGATGAATATATGTGAGGGTGTAGCTAAGGTTTAATTGTATATTGGTTCGGTAACAATATCTGTTATTTTACTAAATTTGGAATCCTTCTCGGTATGGTGTTGGAATTCGGTTGTGAACTGCTTGTCTGCTTTTAGGGCTACATTCAGCTTCTTTTGGTCTTTTACTTGTTTCATTTCTCGTTGCGGCTCTCACTTTGTCTAGTTACAATACATGCTTTGGATTCTCTCTGAGATGCTCTTGACCAAACTTGCATGATGATAATGACAGGTGTTTTTTCCACAAAAAATCAAGGCGCACACACCCTTTTTTCCCTTTTCTCCCCTTTGCTTTAATTGTATATTGGTTCGGTAACAATATCTGTTATTTTACTAAATTTGGAATTATCCTTCTCCATATGGTGTTGGAACGGTTGTGGACTGCTTGTCTGCTTCTAGGGATACATTCGGCTTCTTTTGGTCTTTTACTTGTTTCATTTCTCGTTGTGGCTCTCACTTTGTCTAGTTACAATACATGCTTTGGATTCTCTCTGAGATGCTCTTGACCTAACTTGCATGATGATAATAACATGTGTTTTTTCCACAAAAAATCAAGGTGCACACACCCTTTTTTCCCCTTTGCTTTAATTGTATATTTGTTCGGTAACAATATCTGTTATTTTACTAAATTTGGAATTATCCTTCTCAGTATGGTGTTGGAATTCGGTTGTGGACTGCTTGTCTGCTTCCAGGGATACATTCGGCTTCTTTTGGTCTTTTACTTGTTTCATTTCTCATTGCGGCTCTCACTTTGTCTAGTTCCAATACATGCTTTGGATTCTCTCTGAGATGCTCTTGACCAAACTTGCATGATGATAATAACAGATATTGTTTCCACAAAAAATCAAGGCGCACACACCCTTTTTTCCCCTTTGCTTTTCAGAAAACTTCACTGGTTCTATTTTCATGCTGTGCTGTAGAATATGGACGCTTCTGATGCACCAGACGGGGAGCTATCAACTGACCAAGATCATGCTGATTCCTCTTGCTATCAAAAAGATGCTGAGATTGAAAATGAGAAGATGAGGTGTGCACGTTGTGGTTGTGGTGGAGAGCTCTTGTGAGTGTTTGAACTTGAACTTATTGTGATAGATTGTTGGCCCATGATTATCAACTTTGTTCTCACAAACTGAAATTTTGTGTGCCTACAATATCATATGGTTTGACTTTACTGGAATTAGAAGTCAATAATTTCCTGTTGTAAATTATGCTCTCTTTTGCTTCTTATGATAATGAAACCATTGTTCAAAAGGTTACACTCGTTTCCTCTGGAGTTTGATATCCTAAGACTCAGCTATCGGTTCTTTGAACTACATCCTTTCCTTCACCATACGAACTTATCATTCGGTGCATTCTAGGAATGGGTTATAGCATGAGCCTTTTCAATTTCCCATCTGATTTGATGTGTTCTATGCTGTATTTCTATATTAGAGATATGACTGATACCATGACCCCTCATGAGGCATTTTAGATTTACTTTGTGTTCCTAACAGTTGCAAATCTCCATCAACTTTCAACACAACCGGCAGGTGTTGCTTTTCAGTTTCCTGTTCTTTGGTAAAATTTTCACTGACTGAGAACAGACGATAAGTACAACTACAATGATGGTGTGTTAGAAATACTGGAATTCAGTTGATATAAATTCTTTTATTTGATTCATTCAGGTCTTGTTCGGGACAGGGATGCCACAGAAGCTTCCATCTTTGTTGTGTTAACCCCCCATTTACCTATTTCCCTCCCGGTGTTTGGCACTGTGTTTGGTGTGTTAAAAGGAAGATGGAATTAGGCGTTTATTCTGTATCAGAGGGAATAGAGACTATTTTGGATGCTGAGGGAGTATCGGATGATGAAGGTCCGGTATTTCTACCAGCACACCTAGACAATGTCTTCCATGTGAAAGTTTTTTTATGCTGTATAATTGTTGGATCCTTTTGAGTTGTGATATCGCATCTGATGCCTTCTAAACATCATGATAGAAAACCCGAAGCAATACTTAGTCAAGTACCAGGGCCTTGCTCATGTTCATAATTGCTGGATTGAAAGGGAAAAACTCCGTTTAAAGGCTCCTGCAGTGTTTTCAAGATATAGGAAACGGAAAGCAGTAAGTAATTCATCTCATATATCCAAGCTAACCAATTGATTTTCCCCTCTTATAATGTCCTGTAATGTTTGGGGGGCAGGTATCTAGGTGGAAAAGGAAATGGACTGAACCACAACAACTATTAGCCAAGAGATTATTGATAGTTCCTGATCAATCCAACAGCTCTTGGGGAAATCCCAATTGCTGTCATGAGTGGCTAGTGAAGTGGACCGGCCTTGGCTATGATCAGGCAACATGGGAATTAGAAGATGCTTCATTTCTTAAGACTCCTGAAGGTAGGAAGTTAGTTAGCGATTTTTCTATTCGTCACCAATTAAAAGACAAGTCAAAACCAGCTGAGGAAAGTAAGGTAATACTGGTTACACTCACATACTTGATTGCATTATGAATGTGGTTTTTGTCGCCTGCTAAGATACACTTTCATGGATAATGTTTGTTCTCTAGATGTGTAAAAATCTTGGGAGAGGAGGAGTGCTTCCTTCTGAACTGACAGAACTTCCTTGTGGGGGTACAGATCATCTACATTATGTTAACAAGCTACTTCAGTGCCGTTATAGAGATCAAAATGCTCTTGTCATTGATGCAGAGGTTTATCTTTTAATATCTACCTCTAGTTAAAATATTGGTGAATCTTGTGTATTCTGGCGGTTAGGTGCCCGAGCTACATTCATCCCATGACAAACCTTGACACATACCTTACTGTGCTTCTCTGCAATTTACAGGAGCGAATTGCCGTGGTGGTTTTATTTGTCTTGACTTTGCTTAAAGAAATGAGTGGTCCTTTTCTGATTGTCACTACCTCCAGTTCTATGTGGGAGGCAGAATTTCGGAGATGGGCTAAAACTGTCAACGTTGTTTCATATGAGGGAAAGAGAGATACTTGGGATATCATCAGAACTTTAGAATTCTACAACGTGGATGGCTGCATCATGTTCCAGGTTCTTCTGTCGCCGCCTATTGCTGTTGCCGAGGTATATTTCAATTTTTTGCCTGTTCCTCTAGCATGGAATGATTACAAATTGTAATCATTTTGCCATCTGAATTTCTTTCCTTTAGAAAATAGCTGTCAAGTGGTTGCTTCTTGAATCGACTTGTATCTGGTGAAATGATGCCTTTAGAAATATGACACTTCATATTTGTTCAAGTACTGGACCACTGGAAAGGATTCCTGTCATTCCACTCTTTTCTGACATACAGGATTTCGAAAATTTGAGATCAATCAAATGGGAAATCATAGTTTTGGATGATTTCCGCCGTCCAACAATATCAGCGCAGACAGAGACAATCAAGATGCTGGCAGCTAACATGAGACTGCTTCTTGTTAGTAGTCACATAAAGGTAGGAAAATCATCAACCTGTCTCTCTTATACTTACTTGCCTCTAAGGTTAACGCTTGTCCGTGTTTTTCAGGATTGGAGCAGCAATTACCACGATGCTCTTTCTTTGCTCGAACCTGATTATGAAGGGGTCAAGAGGAACGTTTTGGAGGATGACGGTAACATTGATAGCTCAGAGTTGAAGGCAAAATTGGTGGATTTTACTGCCTATGAACGTAAATGTGAAGCAGTTAAAGTAACAGAGTTTTGGGTTCCTGTCATGCTTAGTGACGTGCAAGCTGAACAATACTGTGCCTCCCTGCTGTCAAATTCAGTGTTTCTTTGTTCAAACTCAAAGTGTGATTCAACCTTCTCTGTCCGTGACCTACTGAGAACAGCAAGAAAGGTCTGCAAGTTATTATAACTCCATCCAATTTCCTTTTAGCATTCATCCTGGTTAATCCCTAGTTCTGCATTCACTCTTCTGCTTAAGAGATTACAATGTTTGACATATGTTACTCCGCAATCTCAGTGTTGTGATCACCCCTATCTTGTGGATCGGTCTTTGTGGAATTTGGTGCTACAAGGTAAACCTGCATCAGACCACTTCGACATTGAAGTCCAAATGAGTGGGAAGTTGCAACTTCTAAGTAAGATACTTCCAGTAATTAAAAATCGAGGGCTGAGAGTGGTCATTCTTTTCCAGGTATTTACAAAAATCATCATCGTTTTTGGTTCTATGTTGTAATTTCATCATTCCTTCTTTATGAAGTTGAATGCATATGTTGTCTGCAGTCCATTAACTAGTGTTAACATTTTTGCTACCCATCAAATTGCAAAGCATGAAAAACACCATTAGAACCAGTCCACTTAGTTTCTCTCTCTCTCTCTCTCTCTCTCTCTCTACACACACACACGAACACAGACACACGCTATAGTTTTTCTTGATTACTGGATATGAGACCCAAGATGTTTTGTTTTGGCAGGCAGTGACCTGTTCTGATGGGATTTCTATCGGAGATATTATTCATGAATTCATTCACCAAAAGTTTGGTATAAATTCTTATTCACGGATTGATGGTGGGCTTCCTCGTCACAAGAAGCAATCCGTGGTTGAAGCCTTCAATAAGAAAGAAAATGAAAAATTCGTGTGTTTGATCGAAACTCGGTCTTGTGTTCCCAGCATTAAAATTGCCTCTATAGACGCAATCATCATTTTTAACAGTGACTGGGATCCCATCAGTAATGTTAAAGCTTTGCAGAAGATAACAATAGAATCACGCCTAGAACAGTTGAAGATCTTTCGTTTGTATTCATGTTATACAGTGGAAGAGAAAGCATTGATTTTGGCCAAGGAAGGTGCAGCTGTTGACAGTAATGATACGAATATAAAGCAAACCACTTGTCACAAGCTTTTGACTTGGGGTACCTCAAGTCTATTTAGAAGGATTGACGACTCTTGTAAATCTAGCGAATCTTCTTCAAGTTCAATGAATTCTTTGGAGCAGAATATTCTGGAAGATGTCATTCAGGAGCTCTCGGCTTTGCTTCCTGCAAGAAGTTTAGAAAATGCTTCAACTTGTTCTAGCAGGAAAAAAGGATCCAGCAATGTTCTGACAGTGAAACTCAGTGAAGGGACCTACCAAGGGAACAATCTTTACCTACTTGGTGAATTGAAAGCCCAATCAGAGAGCAATTTGTCTGCAGTTGGAGAACTAATGGATAAGCCACCACGAGTTTTCTGGAAAAAGTTGCTCGAAGGCAGGGAACCTAGGTGCAGATACGTATCTAGTCCATCACAAAGAAGTAAAAGAAAAATGAAACTAGTGACTAGTCTGTTTGAGGAAACTGAAGTGCCAGAAAAAGCTGGAGAGAAAAGCAAAATGGAAGCCAGTAGCATCTTGAAACAAACATTGAAACGGAAAATGATAATTGATAAAGGATTGGACGGTTGCCATGTTGTGAAAAAGCTTGCAGGTAACATTTTGTTGTTTTTATTTTACCTATAAGACCTATGTGAACATGTTTCTGATTAACCTTTCCCTTTTGAAGTTGATTCTCAAAATTCAGGCATCAGAAGACACAGATGTGTATCAATAGTGGCAAATAGTGCTTCCCTTGGCTTGGCTTCGCATTCCCTTAATGCCAGAATGGAGGTTAGTGCTACTGAGTAAGCCTTAAACTGTTTTAGCGTACTGTAGTCTTCTGTAGTTTTACAAGCTTTTCTCATTTAAATGAGGTCTGCATTATAATTCCTTGTGTTCCTGAATTGTTATTCCTCTGCATTAAATCAATAAGATGGACAATGTTTGAGGTTTTCTTATTTTACAATCCTGGAGTCTAATTGTCTTTAGTGACAATGACAGCTGCCAGCATCTCCTAGTTCACTCGTTGTTGGCCATGAAGCTGGTGATCAGACAGAATCCGTGGAAGGAGAAAATATTAATCCAGATATCTCAAATAATCATTTCACTGAATCATCATTGAGAAGATCTCAGGCTCCCCAGTCTCCGTGTTTGGCATCACTTCAACAAGAGATGGAAAGAATACAGGAGGCCAAAGAGCAAGCTGTAAAATTACACGAGGATTTGGTTGGTTCCTCCACTTTCTCTCTTTTCTTTACCTCATATTATTCTATTTTGCAGTGAAATATGGTTTGAACTTCTCTATGTTATTTTATATTTAGAAACTACACCTTGAATCCGAGTGTGAAAAAGAGATTTTGGAGATCCGTAAGAAGTATGATGTGGTTCTTCACGATGCTGAGGCTGTGATGGCAGAAAAGAAATCAGCACTTGAGAGTTGCTACCAAATAACATACAAACAGATATTATTAGCTGAGGCAATGATGCAAAAGCAACATGATATACCTTCGGCTCATTCACCTGGGCAGAATGAAGGTATGCATATTTTCTCTGTTAGCAGGAGCATCCCCTCTTCTCATTGGATTAAGTGCTATACTAAAATTTGCATTTTGTCAAATGAGTATTTTCAACTTGTTAGCTTTAAACCTCAGAACAGTTGTGTAGATGATAGTTTCTTCGAGTTAGTCGCTTCTCAATGTACTACATTCCCTTGTATAGCGAGTTCTGTTTGTCTGCTGTGAAGCTATATGGTCAAGCTTTTGGAATCTAATCATAAATTTTGTCAAACTGTTATACTTTTACCGTGTTACAACTTCTGATGCAGTACTTCCGTGCAGTGACTCTGTCAACGTTCATGAAGAACATACATCAAGTGTGCTCTACAGTGCTTACCCGAACAACAGTTTCACCACCATGTGCACCTGGGAGTCCACCACCACTGGTTGAGAATAACCCACCAGATATTGAGCAATGTGCTGCATACAACCCGGCAGTACCTGAAGGGGAATCAAGGGGGCCTCATATGGAGATCAGTTCACCCAGAACTTCATTGCAGGTTGTGGGTAATAGTACATCAACAGGGCATCCAGTTGCTGTTCCTGCTGTCTGCAGAGCTGGACAATCTACAATTGCTACTTCATTGCAGATCGTTGGTAGTAGTACATCATTAGGGCAGCCAGTAGTTGTTCCTGCTGTCTGCGAACAATCTTCTCAAAACTTGGCATCACTTATGGCACCATCTGTGTTAGAGCGCAGCTTAGTCGCCTCGAGAAACGATTTGAGACCACCTTCTATTGCAAGCATTCGTCTATCAGGCAGCTCGGTTTCAAAGGGTCCATCCAGGGCTCCTGCTCCACATTTAAGAACATCTCTACCTTGTAAGTAATTCAAGATTATAGACGTCTGGAGCCAGATGTTGCTGAGTGAAAAAACCTTTGCCTCCTTAACATTTGAATATCCAGGGGATATTTCATATTTTGCGCTCTGAATTGAAGTCTTCTGGTATTTTGTATATGTTGAGCGTGGCTAGTAAGCCAGGTTATGCTGGCTTCCGAACTTAAACTAACATGAATAGACATTTTGGTAGGCCGATGGGAGGATTGAGAAATGACAGATAGCTGTCGGTAGGTGATATATATTGATGGGTGTTGATAAATTGAGAGCAAAATCCTATTAAATACTTATATTAGTCTTATGTACATTTTAAGAGATTTATTTATTTACTGATTTTTCTTGATTCTCTCCATCCCTCCCTTAATCCCTACCGCGTCCCTGTTTGCAAAAGCAAATTTCTCCCTTAAGAACCAATTTCGCTCCAAAATCATAAACATCTAACAAGAACTGAGAAACCTCTAAAGGACATATAGTCAAACTTTTCCAACAAACGATGATTTTTTTCAATAAATATCAGAGCAACAACAAAGGCTAATCATCAAAAAAAAATAAAAAAACTCCATTAAATCAAATGTGTTGGAATTCCAATCATCATCAGACTCTCCACTTCGGTTGTCCATTTTTTTTCTTCGACGGCATGAGCAACTCGAGAATTAGCGCAGCAACAACATCCAAAACCCTTAAAAACAAGAAAATGGCCTACAAAAACTCACATCACAGGGGGGGCATCATAGTTAATGCCTACAGCAATTGAATCAACAGAGAGTAAAAATTTGAGACCACCCAAAATTGGAGATCTTAAGAAATTAAAAATTTCTTTGGATTGAGATTATAAAGTGGACTCAGGTGCCATGAATTCACCAAAAAAAGAAAAAGGTGGGAAACATTCTAGGATTTGAGAAGAGCCGGCCTGAAAAATAGAGAAAATTAAGGGAAAATTATATGGAGTAGATCCGTTAAAATTTGCAAAAGGGTAACATAGGCATTTGTTAAAATTTTGCTCTCAATATATTTTGATTAGTAGAGAACGATGTAAATTTGAATATGATTTGGAAGAGAGAATTGAGAAGCCCATTATTTTGGTTTTTAATGCGTGTAACAACAATTATCAAGTATCATAGTGTCATGTCACGTAAAACTGTTTAAAATCGCGTGCTAGCAACTACCCAACAGAAGCAGGGTTATTTTGTGCGCAGAGCCAAAACTAAACGAAAAGCGGGGCGAAAAAAATAAAAATGTGGCTGCTGGGATTCGAGCCCAGGTCTCTACGGCCACAACGTAGAATTCTAACCACTAAACTACAGCCACTCTCATTGGGAACGATGGTCCTTATTTTATTTTTAAAAAAGTTGTTCCTGCTTTTCGCAGAGGCCCTTGTTATTTTTTTGGGTTAATATGGAAAACACCCTCCAGGTTTAGTCCATTCTCTAAAACACCCTCACGAGTGTCAGAAATATCAAGAACGTCCCTGAATTATACTTTTGATCATCAATCTCATACTCAGGCGAACAAAGGACCATGAATCCTGATGTCACATGTAACAAAAGACAATTTTACCCTTCATGAAATGTGTCTGGAGTAATGATTAACAAAATCTCCGACCAAACAACCATCCATACCTGCCAGCACCACCACCATCTCCGGCAACTTCAAACCCCATCCTTGCCCACCAACATCAAATGAATTTCACAGTAATTTTTACAACCATAGCACCTCCTTAATCCAATTTTCAGCACCACAACCACTCCAAATTATTTCCATCCCCGCAGTGCAAACCAACAATATCAAAATCCCCGAACCCCCTCCCCTAAGCCCCCCATCATTATCGGAATTAACACCTAAAAAATCACCATCATCATCCAGTTCGTCTTCACCAAAACCCCATCAGCATCGCCAAAAATTGTCACTATCACCATCAAAGAACTTACCACATTGATGCCCTTCGAAAACCCATAGCACCCAATTCATCACCAAATTGTTTAAAAAAAAAATCATAACAAAAAAATCAACCCATCATATGTCGAGGGGATGTGGACTTGGGCGAAAGTGGATGGTAGGAACAAGGAGAAGAAATAATTGGGAGAGGAAGAGAGGAATGAGTAATTATGAGTTACATCAATAATAATTAGATAAATATATTTTATTTTAGGAAAATAATTGAAATTTGGACACTGACTTACTGAGGTTTATCTTAGGATTAGGATTTCTCCATTCCCAGCCAGATTTTGACCGGAATTTGTGTGGGTTTTTTTGTCATTTCAAATAAAATGCCGTTTGACAGTTATGTCCGGCTGGTCAAGGGGGCTTCCTGATATTTCTAATACTCTTGAGGGTGTTTTAGAGAATGGGTTAAACCTCGGGGGTGTTTTTGATATTAACCCTTTTTTTCTGGTGAGATATTCTCCACGTCTCCACCCATTCTGAAATAAATTATCAAAATAAGCAATTTCAAAATAAGTGTACTTTTCTAATTTTAATATAATTTTTACTCAAAATTTCTCTCAAAAGAAATAGTATTGTTGACCGCCATTGTTTAATAGAGACAGTTAAAGATATTTGTTTAGTTATCCGATTCAAGTCTTTCTTAAAATGTGTGTAAATTATCCAATACTTCCTCCATACCACAAAAATAGTCCACATTGAATTTCAAATTTTGTACAATTTTTTGTACAAAATTCAAAATTCAATATGGACTATTTTTGTGGGACAGAGATAGTAACATTTATTTTAAAATTAGAAAGAATGGAGGGATCACTACATATTATGAGAGGAGATGTGATCTTTCAGTTGACCTGATGATTAGTTCCACATAATTATTACTTTACACAATCCTAAAGATTTGAAATATCTGATCCTTAGGCCTTGTTTGTTTGCCGTTTCATTTTACTTTTTGTCTCATTTACCTCTTAAACACAATTTCTAATTCCAAACATCAATTTAATTTACCTTTTAAGTTATTGTAAAGTTTAGTGCCAATAAATTATTTTAAAGTTTTAAGTTTGGTCACTAAACTATTGTAAAGTTTTAAGTCTGGTCACTGTAATATCCTACCTTCAAAAAATGATCACTATACTATAATACTTTCCAAGAATTGTCACTAAACTACATTTTAAATCTCCTCCCAAATCCAAATAAAAAACTAAATGAAAAACTAAGACAAAACGTAATCCATACATCAACTTAATTTGTTACTTGTATGACCACCAAAAAAAAAAACCCGAGATAAACATAGCTATTTCATAATTTCATCACTAAATCATTCCAAAAATACAAATTAAGGTCTCAGCAAATGCTGACCAGTTCAACATAGAAACAGCACATTGCAGTCTTACATATGCCAGCATACAACATTGGTATTTGCTTTATTTAATAAAAATGACTGCTAAATTGACATAAAATCTTATATAGAGAAACAAAAACCCCAGTGCTACTCCTTTTCATCTTCCTCTTCCTCATTCCAGCAGCAGCATTTCAGAATTGACCTTGGTGAAGCAGAAGACCCAGTCCTAACAAATTTTCGATAGACAACAGAACCACCCAATCCCAGCTCTTCATAGCAAGTCTCATCAAGACAATAGCCCTTCAGGTCCAGGGATCCAGTCAGCTCAACAGGAGACTCAATGTTAGCATGGACAGCAATGGAAAATTCAGAGGGCTGGAAGCACGCCAACACCCTTTCAATCAGCAGTCCCATATTCAGAGCTTTCATATCATACCCAGCAGCTTCAAAGCTGGCATAGCTGAACCCATCTTCAGGTGTAACGTGAATGGTAGACAAGGCTGAACCCTCAATAGAATTCATGGAATAACCACATGGATCAAACTCGAAATCACAGATCTCAGAATCTGGAAGAATCTTCTGTATGCCAGATTTTGCGGTCATCCCAGCAGCAGATGATGATTGGCTCTTGTAAAACACAGAGGCCATATCCTTGTCCAAGCCAGTCATACACATCTCAAGTGTAGTGACAGGGACAGCAACATGCTCAGACCCAGCAGAGGCACTATAAACATGCCATTTCTTGCAATCCTCAGAACTGCCCATCACAAAGGCCTTGCTGCCTGAACCAAGCTTCCCAAAATAGCCATCAAGGATAGCAACTTCCTCACTGAAGCTACGATGCGGAAATGATTGAGCCCCAGGGAAAATAAAGCTGCCACGGGTGTATCTCACTGCTCTTACAAGAAGAGAAAGAGACTCAGCCAACTTCAGGATGGCAGGGACGGAGAGAAGCAACTTAGTAGTTCCACAAGTCTTGATAATTAGCTTGTATGGATAGATGAAGAGGCTTGACTCAGAAAGGACATAGGAGTCAAAATACTTGTTTGACAAAGAAGCAACAATTGTGCATTCAGCTGGCAGAAGGAACTCATCCAGCTGTTCTTTCATAAGAACCCTAAGGCCCTTACCATCAGGGTCAGAAAAGATGCTTGGCTCAAAAAATGAAATTTCAAGCCTTTTCTCATAGCCTTCAAAACCAATAGCCGAAACTGGCAAGGCCATTTTGACTCAAGAAGTGACGCTAACCACAAGTAACACACAGAGAGAAGAAAGACCGAAGAAAAGGAGCACAGGGGTATAACTAAAATCTACAATAATTAAACTAGCTACTTTTGTCACGCTTTTACTCCGTCCAGAGACGTGATCCGGAACCTAGTTTAGGGGTATCAGGATGGCTTGCGAGCGCACTGCACACATAGAAGGAAACATTTGTTAAAAATGTGATGCTAAGAACTCATCCACCAAAGAATGTTCAATGCAAAAGAGAAAAAGAAATTTATACAAATTGCAATATATATACGTACGTTGGAGTATGCAGCAGATCTGAACTTCTTGATGCCACCGTTTGGTCGGACGTCCTCAATGCCGTATCCAAGGGGAGCTTCGTAGAATAATGATGATTTACTACTGGACTTCTTCCCACCTTTAGACTCCATTAGAACATTCAATCCTTCTGTTTCAATCGCCAAGTATAGAACAAGGTCAGATAAATGTGCAAGAACTTTTAACTGAAAATATCCTCCAGTAAATCTCAACTTCAAATGGACAGCTCACTACAGAGAACAAAAGGCGAGCTAATTTGATGCGGAACGAAAGCCCAAACAATGAATCAGACACAATATGAAGAAAGATGAACAAGAATCAATGAATCAGTTGAATAAAAATAAAAGAAGAGGCTTTTCAATAACAAAAAACAAATAATGACTCAACCCTACTAAGAAATTCCATCTCTAACCTAAAAGATACACTCGAAAACAAGAGATCAACTGTTCCGCAGAACAAAGCATACCAGACAAACAAGAACCTAAAGAAAATTTAAACCTGTCTCCCAAACATTATAACAGCTGATGAGGACCCATCTCTCAAACATTATAACAGCTGAGGACCCCATCTACAATTAATATAAGACATTTTTCTTTACAAGTACAAAAAAAAAAAAAAAACCCTTTGCCGTAGCAACCCCTACAAGCTTTCCCAAAAAAAAAAAAAAACAAATAAATTCCACAAGCAAACCACAGTAACCAGATTATTTCTAGTGTTGTAATTGATATGGAGCATAATGAAAACCTAACCCAGGTGAAACATCTAAAACTTCTCCTTTCCCACACAGGATAAATTCCAATCTTAGATAATCGAAAAACGAAACACAAAATCCAAATAACACACATCGTTAGGAGGAACAAAAATACATCAATCTCACCACAGATTAACGAACAACGGATCCCAACAAGCAAACAAACGAACCGCGCAGAGAACAAAAAAAAAAAAAAAAAGAAGATAGATCAGCTAAACAAATCGATTACTTACAAGAATAATTTCTTCAAATCCTGTGCGAAGTAGATGAACGCAGAGTTAGATTTCACCAGAAATAGATGAACAGGATGCGGCGAGAGATGGAATAACCAAGCAAATTCTCGATGATAAGGTCAACCGAATAAAGATTGCGTTTTGTTGGCGGCGATGAAAGGAAATTCCCAAACTGCGTTTTATCGTGAGCGTTTGAGAAGAGGGGCCAGTGGGGTTATTATATAGTGCGGTCTAGCGCTTGCGTGGTCATGACGCACTAAACAACTCAAAAGACATGTTTACCCTTTAGAGAAGTGTGTAGTCGCTGTAAAGCGTGCCCTTTTGCAATTTTTGTTCTGCCCTTTTTGGGAAACGACAAATTCAGTGCATTCCAGACCACTAGTTCTGGAATTAGATTCGCTGAATTTATTTCTCTGCCCAAAGTTACGTGTACATGCAATAGTGATGACATGTCGATTCTCATGGATCATATACACTGGGCCCCTTTGTAAATATTCCAACAGGATTGGCCCTGAATGTAATTATACAATTACAGATATCTTTCCTTTTTCTTTCTTGGGAAAGGCTTTTTCTGCTTTCCAATTTCCATAAAGAAGAGCCACATTAGGGTCTTTTAAAAAAAATTCTTTAAAATAAAGTGGACAATAATTTTTTAAAAATATACATGGACATAAATATCTTCCAGATTTCGCAAATCCGAAGGTCAATTAAAATTAAACCTTTGGATTTTACAAATCCGAATAACCAAATAATATTAAAATAATAAGTATTTATATTTTGTGAAAATACAGTAAAAAAAGTCAAAAAATGAACAGTGACCTTCGGAATTGTAAAATTCGAATTCAATAAAATAAAAAAAATACAGAAGGAAAATTGAGGCGCGAAATTTTTGAATTTCAACTCCGGAATTTTGTAATCCGGATTAATATATTCGAATTTTCCGAATCCGACTATATTTAGTAAAAGTAGGCATCTGTCATAAATTGGAAGACAAAAAAATAGAATTCAATATCCGTAATTGACTAAATTTGGATTTCTGAAATCCGAACTTTGAATGATTCGAATTTCGCAAATCCGAATTTCTTACTTATTCGGATTTCTGAAATCCGAGTTTAGCGTGATATAAAAGAAAAAAAAATCAGACAGTTCTCATTCGAGAACTGAATTGGAGTTTGTGTTTCTGCGCCTCTTGGTTGGCGAATTGGAGTTTTTTATGCCACCTTATCGCTAGATATGTGGGGATCATTATTTGAAAGAGGTTAGATTGCAAAACCATGTTATTTAGTTTATTGTTGTGTTAGTTTGATTGTTAGAATGATGTATGATAGATTAGGATTTTTGTTTGTTGATTGTTTGGATGTTTTAGGTGTTGATTTTGAGATTAGAGATGGAAATCATAGTTGTTCATGAGATATGGAAGTTGATTTCTGAGTATTTTAGGAATCTATAGGTTTTTTGAATTATGGATGGAGTATGTATGGTATATTTGTTGATTTTGTTATTAAGAAATGATTAGATACTGATTTTTTTTTTTTAAAAAAAGTTATCAATGGCATGTAATGTATCATACATACTTAATTTGTTTCATACAAGCAAGTATGTGATAGAGAATGGTATCATCAACACTTTTTCGAATATGCCGGATGATGGCTTGTTTGTTGAGGAAATGTTGTCATATGTGGAATTGATTAGTAAGATTTGTATGACTCTTGGTTGGGATCCAGCACACGTGAAACTCCACCTTTCTATAATTTTTGATAGTTCCAGTGGTAAGTGAGTTGTGAAGATCAAGAATGATTTGCATGTAGAGTTCGTGAACCATGTAGCTCCAATGTCATGTTTGAATTTATACATAGATTTGGAAGATATCACTCACGAAGAAAGAGAAGCGAGTTTAGAAAACAACGTGTTATTTGGTGGTTTTCCAAGAGGGGAACGTGCTAGTACTTCTCGAAACCGTGATGAAGAGGAGACACCTTTATTTGCACAAGATGATTACATGGAAGAGTGGGATCCCAACTACATAGCTCCAAGTGAAAGCAAAGAAGACCGTGGTTCTCTGCAGATAGTGTTTTTGAGGAAAGTGATGATGAATTATTGGAAAATGTGGAAAGGGGTCTTAATCCATTGCTCCGACACCATGTATATAGTAAGATGGAGAAATGGGATGCCTCGTGTGTGGACAAGGATGAGTTTACTCTTAAGATGTGGGATGAGACCTCTGAAGGAATGGACATGGGTGTTTGTTTCAAATCCCAATCAGAAGCAAAACATGCTGTGAAATTATGGAACATCTATCATAAAAGAGAATATACGGTTCCCGCGAGTAGTCCAACGACGTGGGCTGTGTGGTGCAGAAAATTAAATGTACCATGTGAGGATAGTGATCCACCACATGTGTGGAAGATGCGTGTGTCTTTGAAAGATCACGGCCTTCATGAAATTGTGAGATTACATGCTGCACATAATTGCATGACTCTCGTGAATGATAATGACAATCGGTGTATGGACGCGTCTTTGATTGCTAGACTCATCAGGAAGAAGGTTGAGGACAACGTAGATTATACAGTAGTCCCGGCACAGAAAGATGTGAAGACCTTATTGAAAGTAGATGTGCCATACAAAAGGGCATGGCACGGGAGGAGGAAAGCCTTAGAAACAGTCTATGGTGATTAGACCTCGAATTTCGAAGAACTTTCTAGGTAAATATCAACTTTTATAATTGTTATGTGCATTATTTTATTTTATTTTTGGGTTACATGTATTGACATGTTTTAATTATGAGTCGTTTGTTGTGTAGGTATATCGCTGCGCTTAAGTTTACTAATCCTAAGACTGTAGTACACTGGGAATGGAAGAAAGGAGAAGAAGGATGGAATAGGGGAAATAGGACATTTAAATACGTCTTATGGTCATTTGCACTAATGGCTGCGACGTTTCTTGAATGTCCACTAGTCATTTGTATCAATGGAACACACTTGCGTGGTGGATACAAGGTTAAATTGCTTGTTTGTGGTATAGACATTTGCGATAGTGGATGAGGAGATAATAGAGAGTTGGACAATTTTTATGAGCAATTTGAGATTGTGGGTTGTGCAGGATAGAATCGTAAGTGTGATATCCGACCGAAATGCAGGGTTGTTGAGCGCAATGTCACAAATGAATGAATGGCGTGATTTAGGGGATGGTGGCCACTTTTATTGCCTTCGCCACGTTCGCAGCAATCTTGTGTCGCGACATAATAGCAGAAATGTGAAGCGGTTATGTTGGAAGATGGGCACGACGCTTTCAAGAGTGAAATACAACCGTTTGAGGGCAGACTTTATTGAATTCAAACCTGCTGCGTGGGATTATCTTCGAGGGATTCGAGGGAGTAATTGGGCTCGATTGAAAGCCGGTCGCCGTTGGGGCATAGCGACAACCAACATTTCTGAGAGTTACAACAATGCGTTGAAAGATGTCCGATTTTTATCAATTAGAGCCTTGATCGATGCAACCTTTCGCAAAATCGTGAAATTCTACAGAGACGAACAATTGTGTGAGAGAAATTGCGTGACTCCGATCCCTCCTGAGTTATGGAAAAAATACGAGAAAATGAACGACAAAACAGCCAGTTTTGATGCCTCCTCTTTTGATGGTGATGATGCTAGGTGGCGGGTTGTTACTGCTATACGGCTAAGTGGCAGGGGTGGGTCTTTGCATACGGTGAACTACGATGAATATAGGTGTTCGTGCAGAAAGTGGTAAGAGTACCGGATACCTTGTACACACGCACTCACCGTTTGCCTAAAAAAAGGGGATCGACCTATTGATCTATATCATAGTATGTTGCGCCTTTCAGCAAGGCGTAGACAATTTGATTACACGGGTTTTATTCCGATTCCCGATGAGCAACAATGGCCGACGGTCGATTGGAATATCATTCCGAATTATGAGCGTCTTGTTTTGAATGCAGGATCGGGACAAAAATAAAAAAGGAGACATAGAATGCAAATGGATTACAGGAGACGCCGGAGCCAAGGGGAATGTTGGAGATGCGGACAACAAGGTCACGATGCCAATTTTTGTCCTTACTCACACCCAAGAGTAGATAGAAGACATGTGAATGACAGCTGGAATTGAAAGATATTTAGTGTTTAATTAGTGTTTGAAATGACCATGTTATTTGGAATGACAACTGTTCAATAAGATGTTACATAACTTTTAGTAGTGATAAATTCGGATTTTAACGTTAACATTGAATTGTTGATGCTGTGATTGTAATGTCAATAAATTCGGATTCCTTACAACAGGTTTTGGGATTGTGAAGAACAAAATTGTGCATTTTTTGTTATTGTATTAGGCTCGGATTTCTGAAATCCGAATTTATACGTTTTATACTAAATTCGGATTCCGGAAACTTGTTTTAAGGAAATCTAATCTGAGACTTTGCAATTTTTGAGAAGAAGGGGAGATCCGGATTTTCGAAATCCGAATTTATACATTTTGTACTAAATCTGGAATCCGGAAATCCGTTGTCAGGAAATTCATCCGAGACTTTGCAATTTTTGAGAAGCAGGGGAGATCCGGATTTCCGCAATCCTAATTTATACGTTTTGTACTAAATCCGGACTCCAGAAATTCGTTGTCAAGAAATCTATCCAAGACTTTGCAATTTTTGAGAAGCAGGGAAGATCCGGATTTTCGCAATCTGAATTTATACGTTTTGTACTAAATCCGGATTCCAGAAATCCGTTGTCAGGAAATCCATCTGAGACTTTGCAATTTTTGACAAGCAGGGGAGATCCGAATTTCGGAAATCCGAATGTGACGGGATTATAAAAGGCTGGTCAACTTTTCCCCTATTTCATTTTCCTCTAATACCCGACTGAAAAACCCTAATTGCACTAGTCCCTCCCGTCCGGCGACCAAGTTAACCCGTCCACCGCTCCTCCCCGTCCGACGACTCAATCCAGGACCCAAATCGAATTACCCTTCCTCTAGCGAGTCAATCTCCTCCGTCCCTACTTCAAATTCGAAGTCCCGATGCCCCAACTTTGAAGCGTCCATACGGCAACTTACTCCATTGCCGGCAACTCCTCTCTGTCCGGCAACTCACTTCCCTCCATTCTCCCTCAATGACTCCTCCGTCCGGCGACTGTGACTTCCAACTCCTCCGATCACGTGACTGTGACTTCTAATTCCTCCGTCCGGCGACTCCCTAATCCGGAAAGTTCTTTTCTCCGCAATTTTTTTTTTGCCTAATTCATATATTTATGCCGAATGAATGTATTGATGAGTATGTAATGAATTCCGTTTTTTTTTCCGCCCTACATTGGAATTTTGAAATCCGAATGTAGTATTAATAGTTTTTTTTTTGTTTTTAAATTGTTTCTTTGTTGCAAATACTGAATTCACTTGATGTTTAGGTTATTGTTCTGGTTAATTGTTGCATATTTACATTTTATAGTTCTTTAATAATGTTTATTTTTCATGTTTAGGTTAGTTTTTTTTTGTGTTGATTTTTTTTTGGCCGAATTGAATTATTTGTGAAATCCAAATATAGGATTGTACATTATTTATTTTGTTGATTTTGTTTGTGAAATCCGAATGTAGGATTGCAATGGCTAGCTCATCTAGCTCGCAATATAACCATAAACAATATCAACCGGGAGCGGTACAAGAAAAAGTAATATACCTTTAACAAAACCATAGGTCCCAAGCTGTATTTGAGAATAAGATCTACAATATTAAAACATTCCGACTCAAGGACCGTAGATACGATAGCTCATTTTGGGAGATATACAATGATTATACGGCACCGTAGGTTAAGGAAATCATTAAGAGAGCCGGTTTTGAGGGGATAATGAAAGTAGGCTACAAAAGAGTGGATCTCGGTCTCATTACCGCGTTGGTGGAACGGTGGAGGCTAGAAACCCACACTTTCCATTTTAATTTCGGAGAGGCGACTGTGACACTACAGGATGTCGACGTCCTCTTTGGTATTCGGGTGGATGGTGAGCCGGTGTACGGGACGACAGTTAGCTAGAGTGCAGAGGAATGACGGGCGAGATGTGAGACTTATTTGGGATTTCGGCCAGCCGCAGTAAATGACCAATTTGTCAAGATTAGTGTTTTCGAGGATGAGATGAAACGTGCACTCCCCTAGGATTCCCCAGTCGAGCGACTCGAGCAAAGGGCCCGAACAATAATCCTGCATTTTATGAACAGTTTCATGTTTCCTACCAAGACTCAAAATATTGTCAATCTGCAGTTGTTGGCCCAAATTGAGGATTTGAAGCTGTGTAGTCGATACAGTTGGGAATCGGCCCTGCTGGCATGTTTGTACTTTGGCCTGTGCGAGGCAGCTCATTACACCATGCACGATATCACTGCCTGTGTATATTTGCTACAGGTACGTATTAGTTTTCATTAGGTGTTATAATTGTGTTGTTTTTGACATTATGATTTGAAATGTTTACATTATTTTTGAAATTTACTAGGTATGGGCGTATGAGCGGATCGAGAGAATCGCGCCACATAGAGTACCACTAGATTATATACTGGATGAGACCTTTACATTAGCTCAACGGTGCGTATTTTTATTTTAAAATAACTCAATATTTATTTATATTTGTTTCTTATTCATTTTTTTTTATTAATTAAAATGTAACCCCTTCGTGTTTGTTCATTAAGGTGGGAATATTCGTACACCTACGGAGACGTCCCCAGGAGTAACTTGGCACCTTTTAGAGATCAATTAACAAACCTGCATTTTGGAAATGTAAGTACTTAATTTGGTATTTATATTTATTTTGAATTTTTTTCTTCCGGTTATACCATTTAAATAAATTCATTTCGTGCAATTTTTGTGGTAACCATATGCAAGCATCCTTCCTAAACTCCCTGATTTATGTAAACAAGGCCAAGTCATTTGGACGACCAGATGTTGGATGTTCTGTTGGGCTGTTAGGGAACCCCACGAGTCGCTCAGGGTTGTGAGACAATTTGGATACATACAGGGTGTTCCCCGTACCCTATGATTAAAGATCGCGCAACATTTCTTCTTGATCACGCTCACAATATGTTTGGCCTACCTAGCAACAATTAGATAGATCACCATTCCGCAGTACGTCCTCGCTGGAGAAAGAGAGAAAAGTACATTCCAAAAGATTTGGAGGTTGTATTCCCTGGCCAAACATATGAGGGGTTTTATGAATGGTTCATGATGAATACTATCAAGCTTATATCCAATCCCAAAAATTATGAAGCTAAAGGATATGAGACTTCTTCGAGCCGAGTGAAATTATATGTGAGACCATTCCATATTTTTAGTTTTTTATTTCTAATATTTTCTTGTTTTTTTATCTTTTTATGATTTTTGTATTTTACTCTTTTAATTAACGTTCCAACTTCTTTTCAGGGTGAATTATTGAACAACATTCGCGTGAGTTTCGAGCAATTTAGAGATGATAGAGATAAGAAGAATCTCCTAGACAATGAACTCAAGGAGAATTTGGATGAAATCATCGATCAAATATATGTTGCTTTAACCTTGGGCCCAAATGATGAGATTGACACGGACGATACCTAAATCCTAGTTGATGACGAACCATCTCTGCCCTCACAACCTGCGCCGGGTAAAAAAGTCAAACCGTGACCGAGAGAGAAGATTAGAGGAAGAAGAAAGCGAAAACTAATGATCCCCCCTCGGTCATCGCAAGAACAAAATGAGGGTGATGGTTCAGGTAATCAACAACGAGAGCGCGAGGCGGCTTCTTTTAGAGGCTCGCACATCCAAGTCGATACTCAATTTGAAGACATTGATAGCCCTGAGCCTCAATTTGAAGATATTGGTGGAAAGTCGCAACCACAGTCGGGAGTCCTACTTCTCACCATGGGAGAATCTCGATCCCAACCCTAACCCCAACTGCGTCAACAACAGGGTTCAATACTCACATATCTTTGGAGGAAAGACAAGAACCGCCATGGGCCAAATAAATACACTCTGAGTGCGCCTAGGAAATAAAAAGGGAAAATATGAGCCCGTTGATGTTTTTGTACATTGAAAATAGTTATTGGATTAATTTTGGATTGAAATTTGTTATGTTTTGTTGTTAATCAAATGAAATTTTATTATTTTGTTGCCATTAAATTTATGTTTTTCTAAGTTTCAATGTTGTTGGTGCTGTAAACAGGTTTTGGGCTGGTTATAACTAGTCTATTTTTTTTTCAATTCTGACACAGAATCGGATTTCCAAACTCCGACTCTATTCTTTTTGTAAAATACTCGGATTTTGAAAATCCGAATCTATGGCTAACTGGGGGTTTCTGTTTCTCAGAGAAACAAAGGAGATCCGGATTTCGAAAATTCGGATTTGAGTAAAATCGGAATTTGATAATCCACCTTTTTCCAAAGAGAAGAGCCGGATTTTCATCATCCGAATTTGCACAACTTCGGATTTCCGTCATCCGTCTTTCATAGAAGAAGTAATCCGGATTTACGGAATCCGATTGCACACAAAGATATTTTTGAATTTTCAACACTTATATTTTCATCCCACTGGAAATTTATATTTTATTTGTATGTTCGGATTTAGGGAATCCGTCTTTATATTAATTAGACTAAATTCTTTCATTAATTTAATCTCTGATTAACATTACACAAACCCAGATTTCAATATTCCGTGTTATCCGGATTTCTGAAATCCGAGTCTTATACATCTTCAGATTTAAGAAATTCGTGGCACACAGTTTTGTCCACCTAATTTCTGAAAGTTTTTTTTTTTTGTCCAGGTCCTTAATGTACAAATATATTTAAGTAAAAAACTCAGCCACATTATGCCCCCCCCCCCAAAAGTTTCGGTTATATAACAATCGGCCCCCTTCCAAATTTTCTTTTTCCCATTGGGTATTCTTTTGTTTTTACACGTACTGTATTGAACTTTCTAATTTCTTCATAGCTGCTGCTCCATTAACTCGTTTCCTCCTCCCTCTCGATGCGGTAAAACTACCTTACAGGTCATATCTCGGTAGGAGTATGTGCTTTTTGGTTTCTTTGGTTTGTGATGAGGCTTATCATTTTCCAATCCACGAGGTTAAGTCACATGATACAAACAGTTGAACAAATATAATGCAGTAGCAAGCACAAGAGCACATGATGTCGATAAAAGAAAAAGGAAGAATGTAGAACACAAATTATACAGAAGAAAAATCATGTCGTCACGAGACGCGTGAACTACTTATAAAGTTGAAGTGAACCCGTCACGTTCTTCAATGTCGTAATTATTGTGAATCTCATAAGCAATTCAACTACTTATCACTTATCAGTAATCAGAAAAGAATAGACCCAAAAAAATTAAAACCTAAGGGAGAATGGAGCAAGTTCACTTCTCGAAATGAAAGCAATCTCCACTTCCTGAAGCTTTTGTTTCGCAAATAATTAGCATGAGTTGCCGCTTCTCTTGAGAGTTACCTGTTGAACAAACTCCTGCTTCTTGTCACGAAGTTTTAGCAACGCCACAAGAGAGCCGGTGTGCAGAAATAAAGCAATGATATTTCCGCGTGGAGTTTCCAGTTGAAACTTCGGAATGGCATAAAAGGAGAACAATCTCCATTAATGTGGTTTGGTTCTTTGAAAACTTACGAGGTTCTAAATGTTCATCTTTAAGAAAAACAAACATAACAAGGAACTCTGCTGGATCCAGTGCAAAAATTAGATGTACACATTGCGGAAAAGGATTCAGAGATGGTCACAAATTGCTTTTGTAAAATCAGTTGTGGACGAACTACCACCAAGGTCAGCAGTTCGATATTTCCCTTCTGCAATTGTATTCAGGATAGCAGCCTGGATACGCTCTGCTTTATCATGAAGTTCCAGATGGCGAAGCATTGTGACAGCACTTAAAAGCAAAGCAGTTGGATTTGCCATATTCTACAAAGAATTAACCATGAAGAAATGTGGAAAGCAGTCAGCTAGGTAACGCAGATGAGAAGAGGCTAAAATTATTTATCAGATAAAAATAGAACCAGAACGGTAGGTAATTTCTTGTATTACAACATCCTATGTAATTCAGAAGCTATCAACAAAGAGCAGAATCACACATAAAACCTTTAGAACCATGCAATGGCAACTGACTCAACCACTTGCTGAGTAAGAAACAAAACTACACATTAAGAGGCGGTAACATGCTTCTGGCAAAATTGGGGGAGGTGGGGGGGGGGGGGGGGTTTGTTGTTGCGTTGAAGGTCATGGGACAGTTACCACAAGGAAGAGCTTGCCAGATTTCTGTCTTGCAGAAAGAAAGAAATTTACTGAGAATAAGCATATAACTAAAAGGAATGATTCTCCTCGTGAAGCTGTTACAGTTCACACAGCTACATCGAATAGCCCCATGTTGACCAACCACTGGTGGTTATTCTTAACAAAAAGGTACATGCAACCTTACAAATGCAGGATAGTATGTTCTTTCACAGAAAAATGAAAAGAATAATCATCAGGATCAGTTACAGAACAATAGATTTTCTTATTCTCATATTCATCTACAGACCAAAATAGTACTCCTTCCCTCCCGAAATGATTGTACAGTTTGTGCCCATATTTAACAAATAGTGAAAGTACAAACTGGACAATCATTTCGGGATAGAGGGAGTATCATTCTTTAGCAGCATTTAACAGGTAGCCACAGAACAAACTTAAACAAACCAGAAAATAGAGGATAGCAGCATATTCAAGCACAATGTTAACAAATAGTACTCCCTCCCGAAATGATTATGCTCATATTCAACTAAAAGTGAGAGTACAAACTGGACAATCATTTCGGGACAGAGGGAGTGTCATTCTTTTGCAGCATTTAATAGGTAGCCAGAGCACAAAATTAAACAAACCAGAAAAGAGAGGCAAGCAGCATATTCAAGAACAATGTAAATATACAAAATCAGAACGAAGATGAAGAGATTCAGATTAAAACCTTTCCAGCAATATCTGGTGCAGAACCGTGTACTGCCTCCGCAAGAGCAATACCTCCCTCACCAATATTACAGCTACATGGAGAAGATCAAGAATTACAAACGTGTCAATTTAAGAGGAAGGCGCGTAGAAAAGAAAATAAATGAATAAAACCATCTTCAAGCATTTGTTTTAAGACTCAAGGCCATAAGTAAAGCACCTTGGTGTTAAGCCTAAGCCCCCAATCAAACCAGCACACAGGTCACTAATAATGTCACCGTAAAGATTTGGCATCACCAAGACATCAAAAAGTGCTGGATTCTTCACAAGCTGCAAAAGTAAAATAAAATACTAAGTTTCTATTTCTAACTGTAATGTTCAGAAGAACTTTTTGAGCCATTTCACAGTACTATATGATATTACATGAGTCAAAAATAACTTTCAGCATCTTCAACTAACCATTTATTTACAGAAATCAGATAAAACCCAGAGTGAAAAAGTTGGTCATACCATCATACAGCAATTGTCAATAACAACTTCTTCGTATGTTATCTCGGGATACTTCTCTGCAACCTCGCGACAGCACTGTAAAGCAGGGAACAAAGATCATCAACAAGGGTGCTTTAGGAGGAAAAACATCCAGTAAATTGAAAGGAAAAAAAAATCAGTTATGGACCTTAAGGAAAAGGCCGTCAGTTTTCTGCATAATATTGGCTTTGTGGATTGCAGATACTCTCTGCCTTCCATGGGCCTTTGCATAGTGGAAAGCATACTCAGCTACCCTCAAACTGGCTTGACGCGTAATGATCTTAAGACTTTCAACAACACCTCTCACCACCTGGCAACAACAAAAAAACGAATTACATTTTTTTCTTTTTCACTCACATCTGCCGCAAACATCATTAGTAAGCACAAATAACAGGTGAATATAGCTCACTTGATGCTCCAGACCACTGTATTCTCCTTCTGTGTTCTCACGGATGGTGATGAGGTCAACATCATCATATCGAGTCTTGTAACCTGGAAGGCTGTAGCAAGGTCTAACATTGGCATATAAATTCAGCTCTTTTCTCAACGTCAGGTTGAGGGAACGATGCCCTTTACCAATGGGTGTGGCCATTGGCCCTTTTAGACCAACCTTATTACGCCTCACGGATTCAAGACTTTCCCATGTCAAAAAACTTTGAGTTCTAGGGTCAATCTCCGTCCCCACATAATGTTCCTCCCATTCAATTGGTACCTCGGCAACTTTGAACACCTGCATAATTGAGAAAGAATGAACTACTTATCACCCGCAATTATGCAAAGAAATCCAACAATCTGACGCATACTACATCTAAGAAAAGTCAAACAAGCTACCGAATAAACACTCTCTCCATAAACACAGTCGCGTGATTGATAATAATGCAATTACAAAAGCATCCGATTGATCAAAAAAGAAACGAAAAAAAGAAAAAAAAACTTTCCTTCACAAGACAGGCGGTGTAATTAAAAACCCTAACCAAACTGAGAACAATCCGAGAGGAATAATATGTGACAGGAAAAAGTCATAACCTACGCATGTGGCTTAGAAACAAAAGAACAAAAGCGTGTATAAGTGGTAGGAAAGGAAGTAACCTCTTTGACGGACTGAGCAATCTCAGGTCCAATACCGTCGCCGGGAAAGAGAGTGGCGCGAATCAAATTCGACTCCGAGGAGAAACTGCGATCGAAAATCTTAGACAGTGATGATTTAGAGAAGAAATCATTAGGGCGGCTGCTGCTTCGAAGGACTCGTCGGACGATGTGTGAAGCCATAGTTTCGGCCGTTCACCGGTAACTTTCTCACCCGGCTGGATTTAGAGCTTGACCAAATTGTAGAACTCCGGTTAACACATAAGATGGGCAAAATGCAATTTCAGTAGAATCCAATTCAAGGTTGGCTCTTTTCCTTCCTTTCCCTTTTATTTATTTTTAATAAATCCATTTTTTTTTGTATAAAATAAAGAAGGTTGACAAATACTTTCCGTGGCCCCCACCAACTTGTATTACCAAAACCTACCAGTGAAGCAAATATTCTATCAACAAGGATACCTTCGTCTTTTCATAGTAATACTGACGTCTACTTACCCATTTAGATCCCACCTTGATTCTCTTCCCTTGCATGTTTTATTTGGAAAAAATGGGGCATTTCCATAACGAAATTGGTTTTACCAAGGGTATTCTTGTCTTCGCAGTAATTTTTATTTTTGCTGAAATCATGTGATTATGTCATCTTTGCTAGTTTGACCAACCCAATCAAGGAGTATGTCTGGCACTTGTTGCTAGATCATTTTAGTGAATTTTGCTGCCAGATAAAAGGCTCTATTTGTTTGATTTTTTGATGATTTTTTCAGATTATTTTATAATAACTATTCCATATCAGTATAATTTTTTACATTTTCGATGCATATTTTTACATTTTCAATACAAAAAACACCTTAAAACACAAAAAAAAAACGAAACAAACATACAATAGTTTTCATTGTATTTTTGGTTCTTGGTGTATGGTTAGTGTAGTGATTAGTGAAATTGTTACGGTCTTTGTCAATTTAGCCGATTTAAAATTGTACGCGTATGTATTGATTATGTATGCTAGTTCGACTTATTTTGGGTTGATTAGCTCAACCGGTTGTAATTTATTGTTTCATTTTATATATGAATGCCGCTTTTGACACCAAAAGGATTATCAAAAATTTTTTTTGAAGGAGTCCCCTTTATTTCAGTGGAACAAGTTTCGTTTGGATTTTTATATTTTTTTCAAATATTTCAGTGATGAGTTTTGTTCGGATTTTCATATTTTATTCATATTTAAATAATTTAAAGATGATAGATTATAATAGAACTTTTTAATAAATACATTGCATTACAAAATATTTTATTTTATGAAACAAACAGTGAGAATGTTATAGGGAAAATTTTCATTAAGGGCGTAAGAAAGATTATATTTATTGTGAAGGCGTTAGAATTATTCTTTTATTTTTGTCAATACTTCAATGCTTTTAACATCTTTTTACTTCTTAAAAGACCATTTTATCCTACCCTTTATCTATTTATCTATTACAACTTCCCTTTCAATTTGTTTTCTACTCGTTATCTCAAATTTCTAAAAAAAAATTAGGTGACAATTCTCCATAGATAAAATAGAAAAAAGAATATTAAATTTCAATCTTCAACTCAACGGTGTACGTAATCTCTCAACCTTGTACTATTAATCAATTAAATAACCCATGACCGTAAAACTGGATCAAACCATCATGATTTATAAGTCTTTTTGAAAAAATGGTCGTAAAGAATATTTCCGAAAAAATTAATGATTCTAGATGTCTAAAAGGATATAAAATTAAATTGCAGAGAAAGAATATATCTTTTGGTATGGAAAATTTGAGATATTCAACCACCAATAACTAACTACAAAATATAATTAGAAGTAGATTGATTCTACGTACTTTGAAATCTTACAAATTTTGTGAAAAAAATGTTGCAAAAGGAACATAGTTACGAGAGAACTTGATGGATTTGTGCTAGAAAGTAAGGGCAAGATAGTCTTTTAAGGACTTTGACATAATTAAAAACTAAATAAATATTGACATTAATTAATTAATAAAACTGACGCCCTTTATAATAAGTAATTACGATCTTTTCTATGCCCTAAATCAAAATTATCCCAATGTTAAAAAAGAATTAAACACACACTGAACTAAATTTTAACAACTATAATTATTGAGGTTTTTACATTTAGTTAAACCCCTTAAAAAGTTAGCGTATGCCACTAAATGCAACGAGCACACGGTATTCTTTAGTAAAAGGCGAAAGAATAGTTCGCTACGTGCTCATTGAGTGGCTGCGTGACGGTAGTTGAGGAGGGCACTGCTTTAATATATGAGTTGATCGATCCAACGAAACTTCCATTGGCCGATATGGGAACTACGTACTGGCCCCTTTCTCCATGGGATTTCAGGCCAAATAAGCCCACCGATTGCTCGGTGTAATAACTCCTATGACCTATCAGTAACATGTTTGTCAAATTCTAGTTCTGGTAAACTGTCTTTGGGGGAAACATTTCCAGCATATGGAACACATTTAGTCAATGCATTTTGGCCACTGTGACTGTGACAGACTAATCTCGCGAGTATAATATGTATTTACCATCCAGTATTATGAAACAATTGTTCCCACTAATTCGAAATCCGGACTTACACTCACTCATCTTTATATACTTTCTACTAATCGTGGCAAAGGTCCATCGTAGAGTTTTAGTTATAGCATGATGTCAAAGACTCGTAATTTGGATGCAGTTATAGAACGAGTCCATTGTTCAGTCCACAAAATATCCAGAAATCAAGTTTATAAATTGTGTGAAAAGGCAGTAAGTGATTAACAACATTGGAGTTCTCTCCAGATTACAGTGATCCTCAGGAAGGATGTTTGTTACACGTAGATCCTCTAATATAGAGGATGCAACCCAAAAAAGAAGAAAAATGAAAAAAAGATAAATACAAAAAAAAAAGAACTATATGGATCAAACAAACCAAACCATCAACAAATTGGGATAGGAGCACCATTCCACTCCTGCAGACATTCAAACAAAGGATCAATGATCTTGCCCTTGTTCATTGCTGTGAAGACCTTGTCAAACACCTCGCCGGGCGATTGGACCTTCTCTCCGGTGAGCATATCTGTTCCCAACTCTTCCCTGACAAATTTATACAATGGGTAGGATCTGCACTCCTTAATTCTGTTTGGAATCGCTGGATTCCCACTCTCAAGAGCAGTCCTTGCAGCCTCTACTTCCTTGTGCAGAACAGCCTTGAGCTCGTCCTCGAACGCGGCGATCTTTTGGAAGATTGAAGTGTTGGCATTCTTCTCCTGATCACCATTCTTCAGTGCATGATCCACCAGTACCTGCCTCAGCTTCTGCATCAATGGGTAGTTAGCACTGCAAGGATCATCGACATAGGCGAAAGTGTATTCGCGGTCGACAACCCTGAGCAAATCCTTCTCGCAGAACCTGGATGGGTGGAGTTCTCCATTGGCACCCATTGTAAGTGTCCTCTTGGCCACTTGGCTGACAGTGTTCTTCACAGCGTTCTTCAAATTCTCCTCCAAGAACCTCAGATCAATTGCTTGGCAGAGTGCCACCAAGAATGTGGTTGACATCAGCTTCAAGATTTCAACTGCTTCAGCTGTTTTCCTTGAAGAAATTAAGCCCAAGGAGTTGACATCTTGGTTGTGTTGCTCAGCACTCTGGACATGATTAGTAACAGGGTTAGCCAAATACTGAAGCTCTGAGCAATATGAAGCCATAGCAATCTCGGCTCCCTTGAAACCATAATCCAAGCTAGGATTCCTTCCTCCAGAAAGATTGGATGGCAAACCATTGTTATAATAATCATTAACAAGCTCAGAAAATTGAGCAAACATAAGTTTCCCAATAGAACCAATTGCCAATCTAGCATTATCCATGGAAACTCCAATTGGGGTGCCCTGAAAGTTTCCGCCATGTAAGGCCTTGTTCCTTGACACATCAATCAAAGGGTTGTCATTAACAGAGTTGATTTCCCTCTCAATCATCTTGGTTGCGGTCCGAATGACCTCGATTTGCGGGCCGAGCCATTGAGGAGATGTCCTCAGGGCATAACGATCCTGTTTAGGCTTCTGCAGGGGATCCATCTCGTGCAATTTCTGAGCTGCTTTCACGTAAGAGCTTCCATCCAAAATGTGTTCCATAATTGCAGCAGCCTCAATTTGACCCGGATGATGCTTCAATTTGTGGGTCAAATGATCGGTGAACTCGGGTTTTCCGTTCATCACTTCAGCAAAAATTGCTGACAGAACTTCGGACAGGACGGCAAGAATGTTGGCCTCGAACAGAACCATGGAAGCCATGCCGGAACCAACAGCGGTGCCATTAACAAGAGCAAGACCTTCTTTAGGCTGGAGCTCGAAGAATCCGCTTTTAATTCCGGCAAGGCAGAAGGCTTCTTCGGCGTTAAGGGCTTCACCGCTGGGTCCAACGGCTTTGGAATTTGGCCGGCCGGTCAGTAGTCCGGCAATGTAGGAAAGCGGGACGAGATCACCGGAAGCGGTGATTGTGCCACGAAGAGGCAAGGAAGGAGTAATGTTGTGGTTAAGGAAAGTGGTAATGGCTTCCAATATCTCAAATCTGATTCCTGAATAACCTTGAAGAAGTGTGTTGATTCTAACCAGCATGGCGGCTCTGGTTGCAGAGTGCGGCAAAGTGTGACTACTTTCCGTTCCGTTACCGAAGATCCCAGCATTTAAAAATCTGTAAAACAGGAAGAATTGTTAATCTTCTTATTATCTGTGTCAGTATTCATAAGACTACTATTTCTTAAAATTATTTTGTACTAGTAGTTAATTAGAAATTCACAAATTAAATTTAGACGATTGCGACAAAACCAAATTCATTGCGTAGATATCACTATCTTTCTATTTCACTTTGCAATTCCCATTCTATAGGGGCACTGGGCTCCATTGACAGACGTGACATTTTTGTATGTTCGACTTCTCTAACTCATACACGCAAAAATAATATTCACCAACCCCCTCAAAAATAACTAAGAATTTTATGAAGTGTATAAATAAATAAATAAATTTTTGTATTTCCCAGATTTTCAAAACTCCACCCAATAAGTAAACAGACAAGGGCCACAAAAAGCATTTTAGATTCATTTAAGTAAAATACTAATAATAACCAAAAAAACACAATAGAGTTTTTCCACTTATGCGGATTATCATGCTAACTTTGAGGCAAAAATAACACCGCATCTTATGATTTTGGACTTCACCTACTTATCTTTTTTGATCCTTTCATCACTACTATTAAATCATCATGTTGCACTCATGAACAAAAAGAGCATGCACTAAAATTTCGGATTATAATATTAACAAGTATAATTTCGATGATCAAGAAGATTTTACTGTGTCTGAATTAATAAATTTTGTAGTACGTAAAATAATAATTACTAGTAGTAATTAACGTCGTACCTAATGAGTTCCTTTTGAAGAGCGCCACCTTGTTTGGTTCTCCGATGTGAAGTGGCACCGAAACCGGTGGTGACACCGTAGCTGTCGGTCCCTTTATTCATGCTCTCCATCACCCAATCACTGCTGGCTTTAACTCCCGCCCGTGCATCCTCCGACAGCTCCACCGTCACTTCATTATTATCCCTCGCGGCGATGGCGGCCACCTGAGCCACCGTCAAGGTTTCGCCGCCGATCTTCACCACCGGCTTCCTGTACTCCGCCACCATACGCTTCACTTCGTCCAAGTGACTGCCCTTTAATGAATCCGCCGCCATTCCCCAGTTCAAAGGGTCTTCTTTCTTCAAGCAGAATTCGGATGACACTTGATGACTCATTTTGCGCTTGATCGAGTATTATAATAATAAATAAAATAAAAGATGTTGAAGCCGGAAAAAAAATCGTACTAGAATAGAGTAACTAATTTGAAACAATGTAGTACAAGTACAAATGTATATTTGAGTTTGTATTGGAATTTGGAAGGAACTACAACTTGAGGCTTTGGTTTTCAAAGGCAAAAGAGAAGTTCCTGAATAAGGTTGGAGAAGGGAGAGGGTTTATATAGGTACAAAATGTTGGTAGGTGAGATCATAAGCTTGAAAAAACAGGGGAGTGCTTAGAGGGTTGGTTGAGGAAGAATCTGGACCATTGGATTGGGTTTTATTTGGACGGTTGATGTAGGGATCTACGTGGGAATGGGATCAAACATGAGTTTTTTTTTTTTTTTTTTTTAATTTTTACTCGTAAAAGAGTTAGTCCAATTTTGGGATAGGTTGTCATGGTGGTGGTGGTTGGTAGCTTAAGGTAGAAAATAGATATTAGCTTTGTTGAAATAAATTTTGGTAATTACCTTTTAATCTCCTTTTTTTTTGGGTGTTGTAATTTTTGTTTTTTTATAAAAAAAAATTGTAACTTGAATGAATGAGATGATAGGTGGGGAAGGAAATGGAAGAAAGGGACCAAAAGGAGGAGGATGATGGCTGGCTGCGCACAACAAATGTGTTAGTGGACTAGTAGGAGGACTAGGATGGATAATGAATTTGTTAGGTCAATTCGACTCATGTCATACACTTCTACACTGTTTACTTGGGGACAAAAGTTTATTTGTCTACCTCTATGATTTTTATTATCAGCTATCTTGTATCTTTCGTTTATTTTGTTCAAATTGGATAATTCCATGGAGAATCGATGTTTTAATTTTGTATTTATAATAATTTCTTAATTTATGTTTTCTAATCATTCCAACCAACCATTCCACCCATGTATTACATAAAGTTACTTCTTTTTTTTTTTTTTTGAGAATATAGTTAAGCACATAAAATAGCATTTCTTTGTATTGTGATCAATCTCAGTTAGTAGTGACTAGACCGAAGAGAGTATTTAAAGACAGAAGATAATGATTCAGTTATCACATACTTATAACTAAGTGCATCAAATAATTGCATAACCTTTGTCTTCTAGGGAAATAAAAGAATCCCTGATGGTGCTGGGAATAACAAAGATCGATAGTGAAAAGCCAGAGATCACTCACTCAATCGGTTCTATAAAATGAGTTACATTGATCAAATTGTTCTTAAGAAAAACGAACATCTATTGTGTACGTGCAAGAGTACACGATTTTTTATATTAAAAAAAAAGGGAAGGAGGGGCATAGTTTAAATTAAAAAAAAATTTCGTTTAAATCTCGAGTTGCACTAACATGAAAAAATTAGAAGATTTATTAATTAGTGAGTGATGCTAAGTTGCTAACATAACTTAGCCAACAAACACTACAATCAGGTGAAAGTGCTCTCCTTGTAAGTGTGACACTAGCCATCGGTTAGGTTTATATCGTTGTAAGAAGAAATTATGACTACTAATAACTAGGTACCAGGTAATTAATCAATTTTTTCCTATATACATTTATTATTATAAGGCATTTTGATTTCGTCCTAAATTTCATTTATGATATCTTTTTAATTAGAATAAAAACCTTAAAACATAATAATTAGGAGAACACAACGAGTGTGAAAATATATTTTTAAGGTTTTTTTTCAAACTAAAAAGACATCTTAGGTTAAACTTAAGACGAAATTAGAATGCCTTATAATAAGGACCGGATGGAGTAATATGTAAGTGACCACTTTTGTGATAACAAATATTGATGTCCAGAAAAGAAAAATCAAGTAAAGAAGAGTTGATTTTGTTTTCCCCTCAACCTTCATAGAAACGTAATTGCGCAAGTAATTGAATTAGGGTAGAAGTAAAATTCATTTGAGGACATTTATAAGCAAGAAAAGAATAAAGCACTAGGCGTGCTATAATAATATTATTATTATTGCTATACTTTTCGTTTGAAGCATTCCCATTTTCAACATTTTACCATGCGAGGGGTTTATCTCCTTTTAATTTACGGAAGGCGAAAATATATGAAAAGGTAAAGAAGCAATAGGAACTTTCTTAGTAATTGTAAATGTAAACTTCAGTTCAATTTAAAACGTATTTAACATATTTCATTTTTTAAGTTGTTTCCCCCATGCGGTAGTTGGAGCTTGGAAAGTAGAAACCAGATTCAGGTCATGTTCAACTTCCTGGTCAAATATGATGTGTGTGATTTATTAGCACTTTAAAATTTGTTCTTTTCTGAACTCGAAATTTCTTATAGAGTTTTTAATTTGTTCGGCGATCAATTATTTCTTCTGTTCCCAAACGATTGGCCAATTTAGATTTCATTTTTAGTACAATTTAAATTAAAAATTAATAGGTTAGACACTTTTTTAGGATAAAAAGAATATTTATATGAAATTTCATACTCCTTTTATTTCAAAATACACGATATGATAATTATTTTAAGACACAAAAAAGTTAGGAAAATTCTATAGAAAATGAAATGAATCACAAGACTATAAAATTCACCCATTTTTTTAAATTACGTATTGAAGTGAGAAATAAAATTTTATATTTACCACGACATTATCTATAAGTTTTTACCTTGATAATTTTTTTATTAAGTGTTTACGGCGTATACCCTCTTGAATTTATGCATGTTGATCAAGTGCACAATTCACAGAGTCACATATATACAGAATTATTTCAACAACCAAACTATTACTAATAATAGTAGTAAATAGCAATGAGTTTTTTGATGTGTGTTGCTGCCAAGTCGTCAAGTTCAGCAAACTCAGATTGACTTTTTCCAGTTGAAGACTGAATAGAGATATTTACGTGGAACAAAAACTTAAACCTAACCACACGGAAAAGAAAAGGGTCAGTCAGTCACATTACAGTATTACACTTCACCAACAACGTAGTAGTGGTAAACTGGTAATAGTGTCCTCAGCAGGGGAAAAAAAAACATAAGGCTCTATTTGTCTTAACTCACAATAGTTACTTCCTCTAAGGAAATAAATGAATATTTGAAACAAAATGAGAAAAGTAAGAAAATGTCGTTGAAAAAAAAATTTAAGAAAAGAAATGACGAGAAAGAAAATTACAATGTACTCCCTCTATTGAAGAAAAATATTTCAATTTATTTATTAAAAAAATTGCAACAATAAAAAAACACGTTACTCTGGTAAACAAATCAAAATTAGTTTGATTGAAAAGACAAAAAGATCTTCTACACACTAAAATATATGTAAATCACTATTTTGAGTTGGAAAATAACTACTGAGGAACGAAAACTTTGTAAACTCTTAAATTGTTTGTACAGTTATACCTTTATTGAATTGATCAAAATAAAAAAAATAATTATATTTTTACAATATAAATAAACTATTTCTCTATAATGCATGTAGTACATATTAGCATCAAGTGCGATTGATCAGGCTTAATTTTTCAGACAAAAAAAAAATACTACTTCCGTCCCGGAAAAATAGTCCACATTGAGTTTTCAAATTTGTACTAAAAATAGTATAAAACTCAAAACTCAATGTGGATTATTGTTTTAGGACGGAGGGGGTAATAAATTAAAAAATAAAAAGTGTTATGAACTATATGCAGTCCCCTACAAACAAAAGGACTCTAATACTAATATACAGTACTCACCCTTTCCGCACAAAAAGTACTATAGTTGCATTGTGCTGTATAATGAAGATTATCACAAATTACAGTGGTCTTTAAACTTAATTAACTGAATATAGTGGGAAAATACATTCAGACGTACGCCCCGCTACCGTCAACATCTTCAAAGCTGGAATCACATTTTTTTTTTAAAAAAAATGTCACAGTAAGCAAACAAATAATTAATGTTAGTTTTCTTAATCATCTTGAATGTGGGAATTGGAAAGTAGCTCCTGGGCTTCCTGCAGCCCTCTGAGATCAATCAAAACACGATCATTAGAATAATTCATAATTAGTCAGAGCTTCAGAGGGACTAATTATTGTTGGGAGCGCGTGGATTGAAAGAATTTAGTTATAGACATATCACTCCGTCTGCTTCATTTTTAATAAATTTGTTTGTTGAACAAAAATAGTAGTAAAACAAAGTTTTTTTTTTTTTTTTTGATTTGAAAATATAGTAAAACAAAATTGGTTACGAAGACAGGGTTTCAACATCATTTTAGCAAAGACTTGTAGCAGTTTCCGGTCTAATAATTTCTAAGGGAGTGAGTTGTGTTAGGCAGAAATTCTTATGATTGGACGCTCAAAACCATGCAAAACTTGAAGAGGTAAACAAAGAAAATGGCTTCTATTGGCCGGCAAGTTCGTCCGTCCGGTTGACGTTTCTGTCATCTGGTTAATTTGTCTTGTTCAGAGATAATTTTGCCAAACATTGATTATTATCCTAAGGAGTAGTGTTATATACTATAAGACATTTTGATTTGTATTTAACCTAATATGTAGTTTTAATTGACGAAAAAATTTTAAACAAATTTTGTAACATTCAAGAGAATACGACGAGTGTGAAAATACTGTAGAACTTCTATGTGTTGGGACCACAAAAATTTATTAATTTAGAGAATTAATAAATAATCGATAAATTAATAAATTATTAATTTAAAGAATTTAATTGAGAAAAAAGAACCGTAATTAAATTTCTTATTTTGCAATCGTCTCTACATCCGAATCAATCAAGTATTAAAACTCTTCTGAATGCTAAAAGGCCATACATAGTTCATATCATCTTTACAGACTAAAAAATAAGTATTAATAGTTCGTATTTCACTAGATATTTATAATTATTATTATTTTTTTGTACTTTTAGGGTATTTATTAATTTATAGTATTGTTAGGACCTATAGATATATAAGAGATTTTCTAAAACATTAATATTTTATCATGTTATCGATTTTGTTCACTTTTTGTATTGGTCCCAAGTTGGGACCGGAAAAAATTATTAATTGCTAGAAGTTATTAATTTATTGATTATTAATTTACCGACGTTCTACTGTATATTTTTAAGATTTTTTCGTTAATTGAAAATGCGTACTAGGTGAAACCAAGGATAAATCAAAATGCCTTATATTAAGGACCGAAGGGAGTAGTATTCAAAATGTCATGAACCAAACCAATAGAATTCAGCATTCATCTGATCACAAAACACCAGCCTC